TTGGGTCAGCCTGGAGAGCGCATTGCCGAGAATACTCACATGGGGTGAGATCTGGCGGATGACCCCGCTGCGACTGAGCTTTATCGTTCGTTCGGCGTACGATGTATTACCGTCCGGTGTTAACATGGTTAAATGGTCTGCGACCAACGATCCGACTTGCCCGTTGTGCAAATCAAAGCAAACTCTTGAGCACGTCCTGTCCGCGTGCAGGAAAGCTCTAGGTCAAGGCCGCTATACCTGGCGCCACAACAAGGTGCTAAAGGAGTTAGCAGCCGTTGTCGACCAGGCTAGAATGAGGGCTAACGCCAGAGCCAGTTCTAGTATCGCCCCCATTCGTTTCCTCAAGGCTGGGCAGGTTCCAATCGGTAAGGTCAACAAAAACGCATTCGCTCCATCTGTACTAGACTCTGCGAGGGACTGGTTACTGGCGGTTGATCTGCCAGGACATGAACGGTATCCCGAGTTGATCCGTAAAACCGGCCTGCGACCGGACATCGTTCTCCATTCTGCGCAAAAACGGCAACTCATCCTGATTGAGTTGACGGTCCCGTTTGAGTCGCGGATGGAGGAGAATCACTTGTACAAGCTCGAAAAGTACAGTGATTTAGCAGCCGGTTTGAGGAGAGACGAGGCTTACACAGTACGGGTATTTGCCGTCGAAGTGGGAGCGAGAGGCCTCGTTTCCACTTCGCTCTACAATGTGGTAAAAGAACTAGGATTGCGCGGTAATGAACGGAAACGAGCACTCAAAAAACTTGGTGAGGTGGCCGAAAGGGCATCCAGCTGGTTGTGGACGCAGCGCAACAACGTGGGGGACGGGCCTCGGTGAGCTGGTCCGGGTATCTAGTGGAAAAGAGTTTCTTATCCCTTTGAAAAGTCCATCGTGTACGAATTGTCTGCCAGTGTCTCTCTGCCAACTGCTAATAACAGTCCAATATGTGTCCGGTAAACCAAGGTAAGCTTGTCGCTCGGTCGTCCAGGCACGCTGACTGTTCTAATTAAGCTGCCGTGGCGACTTCTTATCTCACAGTACCTCCTTCGAAACCACTAAGTCGTCTTGTCTCTGGCCGAAAGTATAACACCATCCGGTAATCTGTGCAGCGGGGAAGCAGCCCTGGGTGTCATGAACTCAGGTGGGCCCACCTCCGAATACGTTTAGGAATCGTGGGCCGAAACGTGTGTCGAAAGAGGATAATTTCTACTGATGACTGTAGATCCCCGCTGTACTTGCTCCCTGTGAGTTTATTCTTATACTTACTTACTCTACATAGTTTGATTAGAATTCTTCATTGTGACTGTAAAGGCTAGCATGGTGTTTTTACATGTGATAACAAATACAGATTTAATTGTCATTATTTAAAAATAACGTCGATTGTTGCAGTCACATTTAATTGTTTCATATTTCTTGTATGCCATAAACATGTTTTATAATGTTATGTAACCTAACTAGCCTAAACAGTTGTTAACATAATCTCTTATTAAATAATACAAAGAATCATCGCCGGAGCTACGGAGTGTGTGCACTGTGCTCGATACCATCTTCAGATGGCAACGGAGAGAGTGGGAGGAGGAGATAATTTTAGGCGAAGAGAGGAGTGGGTCAAAGTGTCCAATCATGTTTCAAACTTGTGTAGGGTTCTAATCACTTTGGAACTTGAATGCAGGGACTGGCCAGCTGGTGCTGCAGAATCAGAAGTTCAACAAATAATTCACTACAATTCCCGCCCAAGTGATGTGATTGTATATACAGATGGTTCTGTGTTGAGGGGTAGACGAAGTGCATGGGGGTTCGTAGCGAAGGCGAATGGACGTCGCTTGGCGCAACAAAGCCTGGCATATGATATCACAACGTCTAGTTTGAGAATGGAGGTGGAGGCAGTCACTGCTACCTTCCGTTGGCTTGAGAATCAGCTGTACACACATGTCATGATTATAACTGACTCACAGAGCATGCTGAGAAAGGTGAAGACTTGCATGCTTCGTGCAGAGTGGCAAGCATCACTTCAGAGGTCCCGGGTAGTTAGCATCCTTTGGATATTTTCTCCAGGTCACGCCGGTATTTTAGGAAATGAGCAAGCGGATAGACTGGCCGGTTCTGCACCACTGGGTGGTGAACGATATATGACAGGCTGGATGTTGTGGGGGCCTTTGGGAGCCAGTGAACAGTGCCGAGGAGCAGACAGATCATTACGGTCTGAGGAGAATAGCACTGTGAGGAGTTACAAGGGCATCTGGCCGACGCTCGACACTCGGGGGAAAGGCGAGACGGACATACAATCCGACTGTTACTGGTACCATCGGAATTTTAACTCTTCGCTTGCTGCTGAAGATGGGGACGGAACGCTTATGGGGGTGTCCCGAGTGCTGTGATGTCGATTCTCAATTCAACATTCAACTTAATCTCCTTGTAATTTCTTTGTATGTTTCATCTTTGCCATCTCCATGCACTGTGTAATTTGTGTATGGTTTTTTTTTACCACACAGTGTGTGTGCATTTAATAAACTTTGTAGTCTCTGGTATTTGACGTATTATTATCTTTAAAATGTACCAAAAACTCAAAAATCTGCGTATGTGTTGGCAAAAGGACTGATACATGTTGAAGATCGCAGATTGTGGAGGAGCATGATCGCCTAAGTCAATAGTCAAGGCACTTGATGATGATGATAATCCAGCCATGTTTTTCTTCTTGGCAAAACACAGGTCACGGGTTCGAATGCGATTGGTTTATAAAATATAAGTCTAGCCCGATGTGCCCAATACGCCTAAAGACATTGAAAAAGCCTCCTCTACTGTTTAATTGAAAACCCAGATTTCTGCTTCATCAATATGATCTTCTTACAATCCATGCCTCTGGTATTGTTCGTCAGGACCGTTCATAGCCTTCTGTCTCATGGACTGAGAATCATTTCTGATACATCTATTCTTTTATGCCATAGCTGCAGATTGTCAATACCACGTGAAAAATAAAATAATAATTACGAACAAGCTATGTATATCTAGATGAGTTCCTTATTAGGGGTAGAGGGAATTAAACGGTATGATAGAATTACTAATGTAGAACTTTGTGAGAGAACTAAGCAAGCCCCACTGGACCAAGATGAAGAAAAGACGCTGACGTTGGATAGGACACACACTGAGAAAACCGGAGAACAAAATAATCAGAATGTCTTTGCACTGGAATCACAGGGGCATAGGTATAAAGGAAGGCAAAAAAACACATGAAGGATGGAGCTGAAGAATGGAGTTAGAAAGATGTGGAGGACGTGGGGGAGAGCTGCACGCGATAGCAAAAGATAAAACGACTTGCCGTGAGTTGGTTGAGGGCCTATGCTCCATTGGGGGCTAAAAAGGCAGAAGAAGAAAAAAGAAACTCCTTATTTGTTTTGCATGCTTTCTATGTGTCAAAAAATGGTATCCTACCAACGTTGTCATCACCAAATTTATCCAGACAACAGTCTCAACACTAACTGTATCCAAACAACAGTTCACCAACTTTATCAAGACAGTATTCTCGTCACCAATTTGTCAAGAAAGTATTCTCGTCACCAACTTTATCAAGACAGTATCGTCGTCACCAACTTGATAAAGACACTATTCTCGTCACCAACTTTATAAAGTCAATATACTGGTCACCAACTTTATCAACACAGTATTTTCACTACAGCAATGTTTCCCCTTGTTAATTTGAACAAAGAAGACACAAACATTAGATTGCACAATTTATTTCCTGACATATCAAGCTATATCTCGTCAAATAAATATTAAAGTAACAATTGATTAAAATGACACAAATAAATGAATCCTTCGAACTGAAACACAAAATCTACTACATTCAAAAACGGTCTGCTTCACCAGGTTAAACACAAGGGGAAGAGCATGTCTTTTTGCCCGTATAATTCTGGACTAAACCAGTTTATCACGATCGCTTCTACAAATCTAAATAACCTAAGGTTGATGAAGTGTAAATAATTCCAAATGCATCTTCCTTGTTTACAATGTGCACAGAGTCCAAAATATGACACATATTGGCTGAAGGGGATTTTTCCGGCCAGTCACCAGATTCGTTGTTGTTGAGTTGTTGTTCGTGTTTTGCATTGCTTTTAACAGCCATATTGGAATATGCTCCGCAACCCGTTTCTCTAGTCGTCGATCAGTTCTGACCACATATACAGCATTCCAGGTGCATTAAAATTGGTAAATACAATTAGATTTAACGTACTGGTTCTTTCGCTAGGGACGTAGAAATTACAGTGGTATTAAATATGATAACAACAGTGGCATCGCATGTGTGAGCAGAACGGATCGACAAATGTCTCGAGTGCTGTGATGTCGATTCTTAATTATAGTTCGTTCAACATCTCATGAACACACATGCGAGCAATTTTCTCGAAAACTGTCAGTTAGATCACAACTATTTTTTTTTTTTGCATGCGGCCTTATAGTGCGACTTTGCACGAGAAAATCATAAAATTGCATAGTTTTTCTTTGACCCAGTGAAACTAATGGAAGTAAAACTTCCATAAGTTTACCAAGACAGTTTCATGATAAAAATATATATTGTAAAGAAAAAAAAAGTACATATGATATTTTCTTTTGTGAAAATATTATGTTCCTAACACCATGGATGTTCTAAGCTGCATGAAAAAAAAATCGTTGCGATCTAACGCAGTTTTCGCGAAAATGGTTTGCGAGGTTGTTCATGGGGTGTTGAACGAACTGTAGACATTAAACATTTGATAGACCTCAATGTTTTCCGAACGTCTCAATTCCCAAACTCCAATGACGCAAAAGTACCACCACTATTGCACGCCAAATCTAGGTGCGGCCATGTCACGGAGCAACTTCCGAGATGCCTCCTGCCATCTTCTATGTCAACAGATCCAACAACATTGCAGAACTAGAAGCGCAACCCAGGAGATTAGTGCCCTGCCACCTCAACCACATGCCCACCCACCTCTTGTAACAGACGAATCCTGGCTTTCCTCTCCCAGCTTCCCAAATGTTGCACAGAGTGTTTCTATTCCTCAAGCGTTGGTTACTCCAGAGAATTCGAGGCAAGCCAATGGGGAACAAACTGAACACAGTGCGTAAGAAGAACTGTTTTTTTTAAAATCACATAGAGCTGTGTGGTTTTGCTTGCTTGCCTATTGTACCCTACTAGAACATGACACAAGCGATAAACACCCAGTGAAACAAAGTGCCACCCTGCTGATGAGGATCACCCATGGAGAGATCCCAGAAACACCTTTCAGTCGTTATGGCCACAATTGTGGCCCAGCTATATTCTGGGCCCCAGGTAAAAGCCAGGGTGGGACTTCAGAAAACAGAAACATTGCAAGGGGACGACTTGCATAATGATATCAATTTGAAGTTTTGACTGGATGACTGACTTTCTACCCCACCAGGACATCACACAAGCGAAAAACACCCGATGACACGATATGCCAACATGTGGGTGAGGATCACCGTAGAGAGGTCCCAGAAACCGCGTTCAGCCTTTAGGCTATATTTATGGCCAAGCTATATTGCGGCCCCTGGCAAAAGCCAGTAACGAAAAATTTCATCTTAAAAAAGACGAGAAGCATAACCAATTTGTAATTTTGATATCGTGTCCAATTTATGAAAAATTGTCTTCTTAGGCCAAACTTTAATATGAAGTGAGCATATCCTTGATTTTATAATGCATCTTTCATTATGTTTACCAATTAGTAGTTAGTCAATCGACTTCGCAACCACATGTACACAAAGTTAAGCGTATCAGCCATGTGTACACGTGGATAGGCACATGGGATAACAGGTCACGTCCTTTAAGACTCTCCCAAATACAACATACCAAGACAAGACTTGGTCAAGAGAAACATTGATGCAAGACAAACTTTACGGGTCGTTGAGTGAATTACAACACAAGACAGTGAAATTCATACGAGAGACAACATTGCAGACATATATATATATATATATATATATATTATAATATATATATATATATATATATATATATATATATATATATATATATAATCTATTTCAAGCGAACCAACGAAACAAAAAAGTAGTTAGTATTTATAATCTGTAACACACACACATACACACACATGCACTCACACGCACAAACACACACACAAACACACACACGCCCAGAAAGTTGAATGTCGAATTAAGAACCGACATCACAGCACTCAGGAAACTACCATCTTCAGTCACAGACGAGTCACTAGTAATACATTTCTGGTGTGAGAGAGAGAAAGAGAGAGAGAGAGAGAGAGAGAGAGAGAGAGATAGAGAGAGAAAGAGAGAGAGCGAGAGAGAGAATAGAGAGAGCGAGAGAAAGAGAGAGAACGAGAGAGGGAGAAAGAGAGTGAGAGCGCGAGAGAGAAAGAAAGAGAAAGAGAAAGAAAGGGAGAGAAAGAGAGCGAGAGATAGACAGAGAGAGAGAGAGAGAGAGAGAGAGAGAGAGAGAGAGAGAGAGCAAGCGAGAGAGGAAGGTGGCAGATAATAGTGAGACAAAAACCGCGAACACAAAAGAGTTGGAAGGCAGTAAACCAAGGGCAGGACCAACAAGACAGTGGAGTCTAAGACTATAGATAGGACGCCGAGAAGAACGCCTGCTTTATTTTGCGTTACCCCTTTAGAGGTTTTATTTTATTTTGTTCTTGCACAAACACACAAATTGCTTTCTAAACTTATATATATATATATATATATATATATATATATATATATATATATATATATATATATATATATGATCATTGATTGATTGATTGTCACCTTTCTGTCTTTCCAGACAATAGTGTTATATTGCGTTATGAGGAGGCATGAGACGCACGGCCCATGGCGATGGCGAGTGTGACTAGCAAGATCTGCCCGTGTCAAGAAAAGCCGATTAAGGCCAGGGAAGTTCCTCCTCTCCAGAGCACAAAGCCTGGGCAGTATCGTAGAGACCATATGTTGCCCATGCATAATGACCCCTCTCTAGACCTGCCTTGTTTACTCCAAAGGAAAGGTAAATCCAGTACGTTTGGAACGAGGCAGGTTGCAGAACCTGCCGAATCAGAAGAGCAGTGCTCTATCTGTCTACCTGTCGAGCTTCCCTCCTTGACCAGCTGCCAGCCAAGGCAAAGGGCCTAGTCTGCCCTGCCATAACACAAAGTTTTTACGTTGTATTTCCTCTTCCTAGGATAAATATATTGTGTGTGTGTGTGTGTATGTGTGTGTGTGTATATATATATATAATCCTAACTATATCACAGGCCCTTTGAATAAGTTCCACGAATTACCTGCGATCTGCGGATCACCATCTGGGAAAGAGTTTTCTGGAGCTACTTAAACGTGATATTAATGATAAAAATCACTGATCTTAATTGTCTGTCTGTTCTCTTTGATGTGCACACTGTCTGTATTCCCCCAGACTCGCAAGTCCTCAGCGAGGAAGACAAATCTGAACGACTTTCTTCTTGAAGTTGCCAAGTAAGCAAACTATTTGTTTCCAGTTAATTCTAGGAAAATGATTCTTTTTTTTAATTTTAACTTGATTCTCTTCTGGTATTGAGTCTTATCTATAAAGTAATGTGGACAGAGTATGCTATCTTGTCGTGTCTTATCTATAAAGTAATGTGGACAGAGTATGCTATCTTGTCGTGTCTTATCTATAAAGTAATGTGGACAGAGTATGCTATCTTGTCGTGTCTTATCTATAAAGTAATGTGGACAGAGTATGCTACCTTGTCAAGCCTTATCTATAATGTGATGATTAAAGAGAATAATATCCTGTCGAGATTATCTATAATGTGATGATTAAAGAGTATGAAATCCGTCGAGCCTTATCTGTAATGTAATGATTAAAGAGTATAATATCCTGTCGAGCCTTATCTTTAATTTGATGATTAAAGAGTATAATATCCCGTCGAGCCTTATCTATAATGTAAGGACTAAAGAGTATAATATCCTGTCGAGCCTTATCTATAATGTAAGGACTAAAGAGTATAATATCCTGTCGAGCTTTATCTATAATGTGAAGATTAAATAGTATAATATCCTGTCGAGCCTTATCTATAATGTGAAGATTAAATAGTATAATATCCCGTCAAGCCTTATCTATAATGTGAAGATTAAATAGTATAATATCCTGTCGAGCCTTATCTATAATGTGAAGATTAAATAGTATAATATCCTGTCGAGCCTTATCTATAATGTGAAGATTAAATAGTATAATATCCTGTCGAGCCTTATCTATAATGTGATGATTAAAGAGTATAATATCCTGTCGAGCCTTATCTATAATGTGATGATTAAAAAGTATAATATCCTGTCGAGCCTTATATATAATGTGATGATTAAAGAGTATAATATCCCGTCGAGCCTTATCTATAATGTAAGGACTAAAGAGTATAATATCCTGTCGAGCTTTATCTATAATGTGATGATTAAAAAGTATAATATCCTGTCGAGCCTTATATATAATGTGATGATTAAAGAGTATAATATCCCGTCGAGCCTTATCTATAATGTAAGGACTAAAGAGTATAATATCCTGTCGAGCTTTATCTATAATGTGATGATTAAAAAGTATAATATCCTGTCGAGCCTTATATATAATGTGATGATTAAAGAGTATAATATCCTGTCGAGCCTTATATATAATGTGATGATTAAAGAGTATAATATCCCGTCAAGCCTTATCTATAATGTGATGATTAAAGAGTATAATATCCCGTCGAGAATTATCTATAATATGATGATTAAAGAGTATAATATCCTGTCGAGCCTTATATATAATGTGATGATTAAAGAGTATAATATCCTGTCGAGCCTTATATATAATGTGATGATTAAAGAGTATAATATCCCGTCAAGCCTTATCTATAATGTAATGATTAAATAGTATAATATCCCGTCGAGAATTATCTATAATATGATGATTAAAGAGTATAATATCCTGTCGAGCCTTATCTATAATGTGATGATTAAAGAGTATAATATCCTGTCGAGCCTTATCTATAATGTGATGATTAAAGAGTATAATATCCTGTCGAGCCGTATAAAAAAAGAAATGATTAAATAGTATAATATCCTGTCGAGCCTTATATATAATGTGATGATTAAAGAGTATAATATCCTGTCGAGCCTTATCTATAATGTGATGATTAAAGAGTATAATATCCCGTCGAGCCTTTTTTATAATTTAATGAGGGAAGTTGGGAACTGAACAGACAGGTAGACTGGCTGGCTCTGCACAACTTGGTGCAATACTCACGCACGGTAAGGCAGACGTGGTTAGAGTCATGTGGGAGACTGTGTACAAGTCGAAGGAGCAAATGGATTACCACTGTCTGGTGAGACTGATGCAGTTGAGAGTGATGAGGGGTTCTGGCCGATACTCGACGCTCAGAGGAAAGGCAAGACGGACGTGTAATCTGAACGACTGACACCGCTGGTATTGGAATTCTGCACTGGCTGCTGACGATGGGGACGCAGCGCCCTGAGTGCAGTGGTGTCAGTTCTTGAATCAGTTCAACTGAACTCAAACCCCGGCAGAAAGTTTCGTTTGTTCAGTAATTTCTGGACTTTAGTGTTGTTACAGAACTAGAGTTTTGCGTGTACATCCGCTTTGCTGATCTAACTTACTTTATGCAGACTGTTGGTTTCTTGCAACTCAGACAGTTGCACTCCAACTTCGAAAGAAATATCCCTAAATAGTCACCTTAAACGGCGTGCATTTTGGGGTAGGGTGGGTATATCCCCCTTCTCTTTCCTCCACCAAAATGGATCCATGGACCTACGCGAAAAAAGTCCAGGATGACGACAGTGATGGTGATGATGGTGGTGATGGTTGTGATGACAGTGGTAGTTGTGGTGATGGTTGTTGTTGTATTGATGATGGTAGTGGCGGTTGTAGTGGTGGTTTATGATGACAGAGATAGTGGTGGTGTGATGGTACTTGTGGTGATGATGGTAGTGGTGCTTGTAGTGGTGGTGATGGTGGTAGTAGTAGTGATGATAGTAGTAGTGGTTGTAGTGGTGGTTTATGATGACAGAGGTAGCGGTGGTGGTAGTGGTAGTTGTAATGATGATGGTAGTAGTGGTTGTAGTGGTGGTTTATGATGACAGAGGTAGCGGTGGTGATGGTGGTAGTTGTAGTGATGATAGTAGTAGTGGTTGTAGTGGTGGTGTGTGATGATAGAGGTAGTGGTGGTGATGGTGGTAGTTGTAGTGATGATGGTAGTGGTGGTTTGTGATGACAGAGGTAGCGGTGGTGATGGTGGTAGTTGTAGTGATGATAGTAGTAGTGGTTGTAGTGGTGGTGTGTGATGATAGAGGTAGTAGTGGTGATGGTGGTAGTTGTAGTGATGATGGTAGTGGTGGTTTGTGATGACAGAGGTAGCGGTGGTGGTGGTGGTAGTTGTAGTGATGATAGTAGTAGTGGTTGTAGTGGTGGTGTGTGATGATAGAGGTAGTGGTGGTGATGGTGGTAGTTGTAGTGATGATGGTAGTGGTGGTTTGTGATGACAGAGGTAGCGGTGGTGGTAGTGGTAGTTGTAATGATGATGGTAGTAGTGGTTGAAGTGGTGGTTTGTGATGACAGAGGTAGCGGTGGTGGTGGTGGTAGTTGTAGTGATGATGGTAGTGGTGGTTGTAGTGTTGGTTTGTGATGACAGAGGTTGCGGTGGTGATGGTGGTAGTTGTAGTGATGATGATAGAGTTAGTGGTTGTGGTGTGATGACTGCACAGATTGACGAGTTTCCTGTTATCCCCAGGTCCATCTTCACCGATATTTTTAACGTTGATGTGGTGATAGTGAAAATCATGGTAAGTTTTCGACTGGCTGGTTCCTTTAGAACAGCGGTTCTCCACCTGTGGGTCGCTTCCCCTTTGGGGGTCAAACGACCATTTTAAAGGAGTCGTTTAAGACCCTTGGATAACACATATTCACTGAAGTTATGAAGAAGCAACGAGAATAATTTTATGTTTGGGGGTCACCACAGAATGAGAAACTGTATTAAAGGGTTGCGGCATTAGGAAGGCTGAGAGCCTTTGCTTTAGAATGTGTCACAGCAGTCTAGGTTATGTATGGAGTTGTGTTGTGTGAGGCTGGGTTATGTGGTGTTGTGTGAGGCCGTGTTATGTGGAGTTGTGTTGTGTGAGGTTGGGTTATGTGGTGTTGTGTGGGGCCGTGTTGTGTGGAGTTGTGTTGTGTGAGGCTGGGTTATGTGGTGTTGTGTGGAGCCATGTTGTGTGGAGTTGTGTTGTGTGAGGCTGGGTTTTGTGGTGTTGTGTGGGGCTGTGTTGTGTGGAGTTGTGTTGTAATCTGGTAGTCTTAGTTTCAGCTTCAAAGCAAACAAGTCACCCCCTAATTGCTCTGCTCCTGTGCCAACGAAAAACACATCAGACAGTCCATTGTGGAAACATTGATACAGACTGCAGAGCAGCATATCCATAATTCTGTGGCAACAGGCCACTCATATTTTCTGAATCTGCAGTTCACAACATTCGTTGGTAGCAGTAGAAAATAACTCCAAATAAAATTCGCAGCTCACAGTGTCGCGTTATGCACTCAGTCCAGTAGCTGGGCGACAGAACGATATCTTTTCAGTCTACAAATGGAGAAAAATGCAACGGCTACCGTTTGTCAAAAGCGAAAATTTCCAACGACTAAAACAAAACAAAAGTGTCCGTACCTATCGTCTATTTGATTGTGTTCTGCAGGGTCGTAGTGTGTGGGGGTGTGTTGTGTCGCTTTGTGAGGTGTGGGGGTTTTGCTGCGTGGGGTTTTGTTGGTTTGTGTGGGATTATGTTGGTTTGTGTTATGAGACTGTGCCGTGTAAAAATGTATTGTATGACATTTAACTACCAATTTTAACACCAGTTGGGCGTATTTCTGCTTAATATTAACAACTGTTTTTTAGTTACTCTCTAGTCTAGGCATATTTTTTTTTTTTTTTAAACCTGAATGAATGAATTAATAAATGAACAATTGACATCACTTCACTCGGGATGTTCCCATACCTACTCCTTTCCCTTCTTCAGAAGCCAACGAAGAGCTAATACTACCAGTTGCAATATGATCAAAAGCCAACTTACATATCTCCCAAAGTATTGAATTACCCCTCCCCCTTCCCCAAAAACCTACTCACCGCCCCTCCCCCCCCCCCGCCCTGCCCCCCCCCCAACCACCGTCAAATTAGTCTTTCAGTGTATGCATTCTCTGTCTGTTCTATCGGACTATCCATTTGATCCTCGATATTCACACGTCCGCCTTATCATAAAGTAGCTCCCCGCCCAGATGGGCGACAGCAGCTAATCTATCAACTTACTCGTTACATCTGAATCTCCTATACAGAAAATCCATGATATCCTCCCGATCTGAGCCTTGTCAAGTGATGAAGACACTGTTTGGAAGACGCCAGTTTCAATTTTCCAAAGCATGTTCTGTGAGTCCGTTTTTACCCACTGCTCTCCAATCTAAATATCTCTTCTTGTTTGTCCTTGCCCGCGCCAACTGACACGGGAAGTAGAACTATGCCCAGCGACTCGTGGACGCCGACAGGGCTTCCTTGTTTCTGGTGGACGAGAAGAAACACGAGCTCTACGCCCGAGTCTTCGACGTGGGTCTGACATGCAGCACTTACCGAGACTTGGCTGCTCTCGATCTGGAAGAGGCTCTCAAGCTATCCTCCATACGGGAGATCAGGTGCTAGTTTTCTGTGGTGCTTGGTTTACAGTTTTGGTTGTGTTTGTGGTCTTGTGTTTGTGGTCTTGTGTTTGTGGGTACTTTTAGATGTGTAGTTGAAGGTTAATACATTTGAGCATAGACAAGAACACCGACAGGAGCACAGACGCAACATATTATTACAGACTGGAGCACAGACTGGAACATAGACAGGAGCACAGACTGGAACATAGACAGGAGCACAGACTGGAACACCGACAGGAGCACAGACAGGAGCACAGACTGGATCGTATTATTACAGACTGGAGCGCAGACAGGAGCACAGACAGAAGCACATATATGAGCACAGGCATGGCCATAGATAGGAACACAGCAAGTGACATAAACGGGTACACGGACAGGAACACTCGCAGTACATTTTATTAACATCCATCGTCATTTCTGTACGTAAAGCATAAGTTCACAGGCATATAAGTATATATATATATACGATAGCCATTACATTAAACACATTCACACAGAGAGAATAACACACACACACACCCAAACACACACACACAAACACAAGCACACACACACACACACAGAGGCATACACACAGAAAGAAAGCCAACATTCCAGAAAGTTCTATCTCTGCTCACTCCAGGTTCCCCATTTCTAAAGGCGTGGCCGGATACGTGGCCACCACAGGAAACATTCTCAATATCAAGGACGCCTACAAAGATGACCGGTTCAACCCTGAAGTTGATATTGTGACTGGCTACAAGACAAAGAGCATTCTATGCATGCCTATCTTCATCCGTGGCTCGTGGGTTTTACTGGTTGATGTGTCTTACTCTGTTGCTCATACAACATTTGTAGCTACGTTTTTATTATGTTTATTAGAATCAAAGTATAATAGTTCTAACAATACTAGAGGAGACAGGGTTACGAATACCAGCATTAGAGAGAAAGTTGGTAAAAGACCATGTCTGGATTATATTGACAGGCAAAGAATAAAATGGTTCGGCCATCTAGTGAGAATGAAGCCAGACCAGACTGCATATGAGACTTTTTACAGTAGAACATCTGGGAGGAAGGCGAGAGGAAGACCAAGAAAGAGATGGATAAATGGTGTAGCTGAATCCTGCAAAAAGATGAAGAAATTCATCACCCAGGCCACCCGAGAAGCGCAAGACAAATACAGAAAACCACAACACTAGGCTAGAACCTGGTACCAGTGAGGAGACAGAAGAAGAAGAAGAAGAAGAAGAAGAAGAAGAAGAAGAAGAAGAAGAAGAAGAAGAAGAAGAAGAAGAAGAAGAAGAAGAAGAAGAAGAAGAAGAAGAAGAAGAAGAAGAAGAAGAAGAGTAAAATAGCTCGTCGTCGTCGTCGTAGTAGTAGTAGTAGAAGTAGTGGTAGTAGTAGTAGTAGTAGTAGTAGTAGTAGTAGTAGTAGTAGTAGTAGTAGTAGTAGTAGTAGTAGTAGTAGTAGTAGTAGTTGTAGTTGTAGTTGTAGTTGTAGTTGTAGTAGTAGTAGTAGAAGTAGCAGTAGCAGCAGCAGTAGCAGTACAAAAATTAAAAAACGGTAACGTTAAAAAAAAGTAGTACAGATTATAGACGAGGGTGACGGGCACAAACAGTAGCAATTCTGGGAAAAGGGGGAAAGTGGGGGGAGGGGGGGGGGGGTTGATTTATGTATGTGTTGATGAACGCTCTACAGCTACATACAACGTTCACGTTTTGTTTGTGGAGTTATTTCAAAATATACTGTTATAATGTGCCTAATGTATGGTAGTTTTCGATATTACGGCTTTATTCGAGCTCGATTCTACTAGTTAAACTGCTACTAATATTAGGATGAGGAACTTTGGTAACTGGAAACGACATCGTAACCTGAAACATGAGGTAATACCCAATTAATTATGGCGTGCAAATAATTTATTTTAAAAAGTGTAAAGTCATCAAACATACAGCCTATAACAGTGATATTTTAAACTAACGGTTACATGGCACTTGAAACATGACATAATACACACATTCAATGACTTTGCGCAAGTAATAGATTTCAAAATGTCTACCTTCATACACCCTATAGCAGTGATAATCCAACTAATCACGGCTAACAATTATCCAATTGTGGGATGAAATGTTTCCTTATCTGAAGCCCCACCCTGGCTTTTGCCGGGCCCCTGAATATAGCCGGGGTTTCTGGGACCTCTCCACGGATGATCCTCATCCGCATGGTGGCACCTTGTGTCACCTGGTGCTTATCGCTTGTGTGATGTCCTGGTGGGGTACAACAAGAGAGAGAGAGAGAGAGAGAGAGAGAGAGAGAGAGAGAGAGAGAGAGAGAGAGAGAGAGAGGGGGGGGGATCCAACTACTACTACAGATAGCCTGGAATAGGACGTAATAAATAAATTTAATTAAGGCGTCGAAATAAGTGATTTAAAATAATCTCATTGTTATCATCAATTGCGTTGCTGACTGGCGTGGGCGATCACGCCTCTCCACAATCTGAGATCCCTAACTGCATGTATCAGTTCGTGTGTTGACACCCCTCCATGCCATGACAAAAGGCCGTCAAAAATCTTCTCCTGTTGTCTTCCTCTGTCTCTTTTCCCACAGATCTTTCCGGTGGTCTCGACAAGCCCCATTTTACCTCTTCTCATAACATGGCCGGAAACAAACTGTCTCTTTCTGATGTCTGCGAATAGTTGTCTTCGAGCAGCAGCCTCTTTGAAAATATCTGGATTGCTCTTCTTAGCTGTCCAGGAAATTCTAAGGATTCTTCTGTAAAACCACATCTCCTAGATCTCAAGAAATTGTTCGGCTTGTTTATGAATTGCCCTGATTCACAGCCGTATGTTTAAACTGGCTCTATATAGTATACAAGAATTCTTTTCCTAACTTCCAATGACATGGATTTATTGCACCAAATGTTCTACGGTCTGCAGTCATGAAACATACAACCTTTAGCAGTGATATTCTAAACTAACGGTTACATGGCGCTTGAAACACAATGGCTCCCAAATTGTCTGCCTAATCATGGAGTATTGTCTCATTGGTATGATGACTGGTTGCTAGCGGCTTTTTATATATAAGATATAGATGACATTTTGAATGCACATAGTTGGTAACGAGTAGACGATATCCGGTTATAGTCTTTATTGAAATTTCACAGGTGATCTGGTCCAGTCAGTGTCTCCTATTGACTAGCAGGTCCAACAAAAGATAATGGCATTTATCAATTACAGAATAGACTTGTAGTACCTTCCACACTCTTTACCTTTCAGTCCTATTTCATTACACACGCAATACACACAGTGGTTGATCCAGCATCTCTGATCATGGCTGTTAGATTTCCTGGACGGTTGGAACTCGTCGGCTACCACCTCTGAATAGTCTGTCATCAGGTTTTCGTCTAGCTGTTCTCTCGTGGAATATAATCTCCTTCACGTCTTCAGTTATACACTGTCACTTTCACTCGTCCATCAAATACGACCTTTCACGCCAGCTGCCAAACATATACTAGCTGATTAGACCTTGGTCTTACCTTTTAACCCTCGTTCTGGGTTTCTCGAGCTGGTCTGAGCCCTGTTTGTATATCTCGTATTTCTACGAGTATTCACATTCTTATGTATTGCTCTCTTATCTAATGTTTACTCCCATATTATTGTTTAGAGAATTCCTGTGGGAAAAATACCAACATTACAAACAGGATAGGGCAGATAGTTTCACTCATCCACGATAACAGTCTGTATGATTTCACACCTGAAGAATGAGAATCTGCTCAACACAATAGTCTTGCCAACGCTATGCTATCAGTGTCAAGCAGGGACACTGTCTTCAGAAGACAGAAAGAAAATAGTCACGACAGAAATGAAATGTTTACGTACTATGCTAGGTGTAACGAGGAAAGATCGACTCAGGAACGATGATATCAGGAGGGAGTCGGCACTGCACCTATACTAAACTTTATAGGTAGACCCCCCACCCCCGCAAAAAAAGCAAATGGTTTAGTCATGTAACAAGATTGGTGTCAGGGACCTATTTACTCTATTTATTTTATATGGCTCGCTAGGTAGGCCAGCTGACAGACTTAACTACAGAGACACACTTAAGACAATACTCCTGCTGAGTACAAACATAATCTTTAATGTACAATGAACAACACGAGGTTAACACTTCAACTGAGCCAAGCAGTTCCCATCCGAAACCCCCTGGCGATGACAGCTTTACAATCACTGGTCAACCCAGGCCAGTTCCCATGGATCTATCAGGAACACGACTCTTAGCTGACAGTTTCTCAGTGCCAATCAAGCCGCCGTCTATTGCCACACGGGACTCAGCAATACACGTAAGGTGTATGGCCTAAGCGTGACCGGGCAGTGTTACCGCCATTACAATGCGCGTCACACCTTGATTAACTGCTCAAAACAAATACTGCAGGGAATGTATACTACACAAAGAACCTTAACTCTATACTATCTAGTCGAAACATTACATAGAAATACAGCCTATCATAGATACTAAATACAAATATCCTATTTCAACTAACCGTCGCTAAACCTAATTTTACCTAGTCAAACAGTTCCGTCTTGTCTCGTCCCGTCTCAGGACACGACTCTCCTCCAACCAGCTCGGACAAAGCTTTTTGTTTACGGCCCGAGTTAACGGTTCAACACGCGATAATCCGTGTCACCTGTGTGAACTAGGCTTGGTCCGTTAACTGGACCCAGTTTATCCGTGGTCAAGCTGTCCGCTCTCATACTGAGTTGTACTGAAGGTCAACTCGTTCATCCGTGAAGATTCACTCGGAGTTGTCCTTCCCATAGCCGAACTGGCCTCTTACAATTGGCATCAGACAGGGCACCACATAGGCCAATGTTATACAGATACCGCACTAACAGATCCCGAGGCCTACAACGCAGAAAATGGACCTCAGAAATAATAAAGACACTGAAAGATACTTTATAGGAAATCTTTGGGTTGCGACCCCTTTAGGGATCGAGCGATCCTTTTACAGGGGTCGATTTAGGCCATCGGAAAATACATATTCATCAAAGTTATGAAGAAGCTACGAAAAAAAAATATGGTTGAAGGTCACCACAACATGATGAACTGTCTTAAAGGGTTGTAGCATTAGGAAGGTTGAGAGCCACTGGTCTAGTGGGTATGTTTTTCATAATAGATTGTCAAAGAACAAAATAAAAGATATTGTTACTGATGACTGACTGACTGGTATCTTTCCGTCTTTCCAGACGATAGTATTATATTGCGCAATGAGGAGGCATGGGACTTACAGCCCATGGAGATGGCGAGTGTGACTAGCAAGACCTGCTCGCGTTAAGAAAAGTCTTCCATAATGTCGCATTGGGTTTTTACAAAATAATGTTCCCATGTCGGGAATCGAACCCGGGCTGCCTAGGTGAAAGGCAGGAATCCTATAAGTGTTAGTAACCTTGCAATCTTGTTTCTCAGTGTAATAGGGGTCGTGGAGATGGTCAACAAAACCCATGGCTCTTTCACCAAAGCTGATGAATACGCATTCGAGTTGTTCGCCGTTTACTGCGGTCTGGCCTTGTTTCACGCGGAGGTATGTTTAACCGTCTCGACTGCGTAAACATCGTCTAAACATCGAACCATTCATAATCCGTCCCAGAAATCTTGCCCAACTTTAAAAATATTTAACTCGGAAACCGTAACAAAGTTTTGTCGCCCAGCTACTGAGTTGAGTGCATGGTGCGACACTGTGAGCAGCGGATTTTATTTGGAATGTTTTTCGACTGTGACCAACGTGCTATTGTGAATTGTAGATTCAGAAAATGGCGCGTGGCCTGTCGTCGCAATATTGGTGGTGATTAAAATTGATCGCGTGTGCAACTACTGATATGTTGGTAACTTCTGCTACCGTCGATGATGAACTGCATTTCTAATGTCGGACTGTTTGTGTTAGCATTTCTGATGGCTACAGTATGCTTTTAATGAGTGTGTATGTTAGTGCATATGCTACGACAGCAGTCTGTCAATCTTTCCACAAGGGTACTTGATGAACATTTTGTGTGTGTTTTCGTTGGCACAGGAGCGGAGCAACTATGGGATGACCCGTTTGATATGAAGCTGAAACTAAGACTACCAAGATTACCAACAAAAAGGATCCCATTTCCCGCCTTTAGGCGCATCGGGCAAATGGGAAGAGCTCCCATATTTTCACAGACCAACTGGCACTAGGCGGGTAATGTGGTCAGCATTACGCCGGCCGTCTTTAGTTCCCAAAGACATACATCCTGGTACCCAGATTAGCCTGGGTCAACCTGCGACTACCCATACCATGATAAAAATCCACGCAGCCAGCAGTGGGTTTCGATCGCGGTACGTTGGAATTACGAGGCGGACTTGCAACGCCTAAGTCACGGGCGCCGCTTAACACGGTAACCATTTGGTGTAAATTGTTATTTGCCATGCAACCTGTTAATAATAATGCCCTTAATTTACGTAAACAAACAATTAGTTTTCATTTGCTGTAGTGTAAGGGGTTAGGTTCACGTTTGTCTCCCCAAATAGAGTAGGTTACCTTTTATTCACAAGTTTGTTGGGCCGGTCGACTTTCCTGAAGGTTACAAGTGTGTCCTGCTTTGTTGTTTGCTTTCTGTGATGTCTTGCATTTACGTTTTCATTCACAGAAAGAGAAGGTTGCAGCACTCTCTAGTGGGGTTGTGTTACGACCATTTTCTCGGTTTTTATTTTTTTTAAATCTTTTTATTGAGTCTTAAAAGCTTTGGCGTGCTGAAATAAACAACATGCGATATCAACGGCATTGCGGAACACCACTGTAACCTTGTTCCAAAGTGACAGGTTCAGAAACTACCAATCAGAAGTGAGCTAGTGTGTATATGGGCGGGGTCTGGGTAGACTAACGTTGCTTTTACCAGACAATTATTAGACACAGACACAAAATAAAACACCGGCATGTTTACAAATAACTAAGTAATGGGAACTATTTGCAGCGCCAAAGTACTCACGTTTCTTCGACGTTTTACTCTCATGTTGTCATCTCCAACACTGGCATCCCATGAATTAACTTTCATTGTAAGGCGGATAGGCTATCAAAATTTTCACCACGCATCGCTGTACATCAGGATTAATTTACAAACAATCTTCATGTGTGTGTCAATCACTATATAATCTACATTTAAGGGCTATACAAATTATTAGTCAAACCAAGATCAAAGAAATTCACCTTTTTAAGGAAACTGCAGCAAAAAATCATAAAAAATTAAAGTCTACGTGCGAAAATTTGTTTTGATCCACAGCTTTCGAGATATTTGTAAGAGTTTGAGGACCTCTTTTAAAACTCAAAACATGTTTTCGATTCCATTTTAACGCTTACTTTATTATTTTTTTTCGTTTTTTTTTTTTTTTTTTTTGTGGTTTTTTTTTTTTTGGTTTGTCTCCCGGTATGTTCTGGGGCGTGTTTTTAAGGACATGTGAATAAACCCTCTCCCTCAGAGCAAGCAGGTCGTAAAAGGCGACAAATCAGGGGTTTGCTGAAGCTGGATGCGTTACTTCGTCAGGCGCAGATAACGCAGCATGTCTATAAACCACAACACCATGTTGAAACCTCTTTTAAAGGCAAACACTGAAACAACAAAAAGGGGGGACACAATGTTGCGTATTTTTCAGTGGAGGTTGCTTGTAGTGCAACGACTGCTGTCTTTAAGTTGTGAGGCTTCTACGTCTTTCGCGGTTTGATTTTTGTACCACTGATCGAAACGCTACCATAACGGCTGGTTTCTAAATCGCACATCGTGGAAATGGAACCTGGTATTTTGTAGATGTGAAACGAATTCACTTACCTCCAAGCAAGGCTGTTCAAAGTATTGAACAGTGCCTCAAATGTTGTTGATCGTTCATTGTGTTGGCCAGTGCCTCAAATGTTGTTCAGCGTTCATTGTGTTGACCAGTGCATCAAATGTTGTTCATCGTTCATTGTGTGTGCCAGTGCCTCAAATGTTGTTGATCGTTCATTGTGTTTACCAGTGTCTCAAATGCTGTTGATCGTTGATTGTGTTGGCCAGTGTCTCAAATATTGTTGATCGTTGATTGCCTTGTACAGTGCCTCAAATGTTGTTGATCGTAGATTGTGTTGTACAGTGCCTCAAATATTGTTGATCGTAGATTGTGTTGTACAGTGCCTCAAATGTTGTTGATCGTTCTTTGTGTTGTACAGTGTCTCAAATATTGTTGACCGTTGATTGTGTTGTACAGTGTCTCAAATATTGTTGACCGTAGATTGTGTTGTACAGTGCCTCAAATGTTGTTGATCGTTCTTTGTGTTGTACAGTGCCTCAAATGTTGTTGATCGTTGATTGTGTTGTACAGTGTCTCAAATATTGTTGATCGTTGATTGTGTTGGACAGTGCCTCAAATGTTGTTCATCGTTTATTGTGCTGGACAGCTCTACGAGAAGATCTGGAGATCTGAGAAGAAGTATAAAGTAGCGCTGGATGTTCTCTCCTACCACAGTCAGGCTACAATCGAGGAGCTACGGGAACTCAGACAGAAGCCGATCCCGACCTGCTTGCCGTCCATCACACAGTCAGTTGAGTTTGTACATGTGTACTGTGTGAGTAGTTTGTACAAGTGAACTGTGTGATTAGTTTGTACATGTGTACTGTGTGAGTAGTTTGTACACCTGTGTCCTCAGTTTGTACATATGTACTGTGTGAGTAGTTTGTACATGTGTACTGTGTGAGTAGTTTGTACACCTGTGTCCTCAGTTTGTACATATGTACTGTGTGAGTAGTTTGTACATGTGTACTGTGTGAGTAGTTTGTACTCATGTGTCCTCGGTTTGTACATATGTACTGTGGGAATAGTTTGTACACATGTGCCCTCATTTTGTACATATGTACTGTGTGAGTAGTTTGTACACATGTTTCCTCGGTTTGTACATATGTACTGAGTGAGTAGTTTGTACACATGTGCCCTCGGTTTGTACATATGTACTGTGTGAGTAGTTTGTACACCTGTGGTATGGAGAAGCCGACAGTCCGGAATCAATGGCAAACTACTGGACGTAAATTTGCCTTAACAAAATCACAACAGCCAAAAAATTCTGAGGTTGGTTCTGCAACGTCATGTAAAGGATACACAACTAACTTTAGTTATCATCAGCGTGGCGGGGTGTAAAGTCGTGTTATGCTTGTGGATCTACTCAGGGGGAGATCAGCGCACCTGGGATCTGCCCGGAGTGTAGAATAAAAATTCATTAAAGGGTTGATGTTTTTTTTAACAGATCAGGATCCTCGCCGGTGCTACGGAGTTCGTGCGATGCGCTGAGATTGTTCTGACTTAGTCTTGAGTCAGAAGAAGACCGGAGCACTTACGGGTTACTGCCCTTGTGCCCTGATGTTGATCCACTGTCTAAACCGAAATCTACACAGATGTTGACGGCCATATTTGAGATTCAACAAGGGACACTACTAACCACTTCCTCTGCTAGTTATCCCCCAGTGGAGCTTAGGCCTGTAACCAACTCACGCCAAGTTATCCTATACTTTGCCGCTGTGTGCAGCAAACACCATATCCTTCTGATCCTTTTAACATCACTCTCTAGCTACTTTTTGAACTTTTGTTTGTTGACCTAGCTCCATAACATGACAAAAGACTGTTAAGAACCTTCTCATGTTGTCTTCCTTTGTCTTTTTTTCCACAGATCTTTCCAGCTGTCACAAGTTCCGGTTGCCTTCTTCTCATAACATAACCAAAACTGATAACTGTCTCTTTCTGATGTTTGTGATAGGTTGTCATCGATCTCTCACCTCTTTCAAAATATCTGGGTTGGTCTTTTTGGCTGTCCAAGGAATTCTTAGAATTCTTCTGTAAAGCTACATCTCTGAGACCTGAAGAAATGGTTTGGCTTGTTTACTTATTGTCCAAGATTGCTGATGATTATGATTAATTGTCCAGGATTGCTGATGATTATGATTAATTGTCCAGAATTCACTCGCAGCCATGTGTTAAGACTTGATTTATATATGCCATGCATTTATTGCATAAAATCTTCTTTATTTTATATAATACAGTTTTGACCCTTCCTTTTCTGTCATTTATCTCAGTGACTCATCTTATGTCTAATGTTATCCATGTGTCTAGATACTTAACTTTCTGACCTTCTCCTACAAGGACTCCTTTGGCTTGTATTATATAAGATAGAGTCACAAATGTTTAGACTTTTCATTCTACAATTTATTTACATCAAGCTAGAGATTCACTATGAACATCATTTTTCTACCTAATCCTCCTCCTTGTAAATGCACTTTGCCCAACGGTGAACAAGATTCCTTATTCCGTCCAAAAAAGAAGTTTTCGGTTGGTCGAGAAGCCACTTTGGCACCGCATTTTGCAAGTTTGAGTCTGAGGCAAATCGGCGACCTCGCAAAGCATCCTTCAGCATCCATACTTTGGCGTTTTGATTCTGGCTTATAGTGATAACCTCATTGCTTCATCTCCGGTGACTATTCTGCTCAAAAACGCATCTTCTTAGTTATTGAAGCGATTGAGTGAGAATTGACAGACCCTAAGAGTGGACTTGTGTTCCTCAGTAAACAATCTTGGTACCCATCGCGCGCAGACTTTATGAAAGCCGAGCTCGTCGTGAATGATTTGATGGGCAGAACAATGGCTATTGTTTAATGCAGATGCTACCTCTTCGATGGTAATTCGCCATTTCGCCAGAACCATCTCTGGAACTTGCTAAATGTTGTCATCTGTAGTAGAGGTTGATGGCCGCCCTGCTCCCTCTTCATACGTTTCGACTACAGTTAAACTTCTCGACCAACAAAAAACACAGTTTTACGGGACCGCTCAATTCCTCCATATTGCAGTGATAGTCTACAATGAATTCTTGAACCTTTGACGCCCTCCGACCAGGGGAATCATGTCACTGCTTGTTGTTCTTCTTTGAAGCAAACTTCTGATGGAGTGGTCATGATCCATCTGCAACAGAAGACAGACCATGGCCGAATTAAAAGCAAACTTTCGTAGAATTACCACAACAGTATAACAATAAAATAAGCGAGGACAGAAGTCAGAGTGGACAGTGTAACAAGAGTTGTGTCAAAACTGTAGACAATGTATGACTTTCCCTAGTAAATTTAGGCACTATTCTCTTCTTTGATATTACCACTAGGCTAGAGTGTTCCATATCCACACTATAGCCAGTACAAACAGTAATCTATTCTTTCAGCGTATCCTACCCAAATTGCTAACCAGTACAAACAGTAATCTATTATTTGACTATATCATACTCAAACTGTTAACAATACAAACAGTAATCTATTGTATTATCTCCTACTGAAATCCATAAGAATACAAACAGTAATCTATTGTTTGACTATACCCTACCCAAACTGTTAACAATACAAACAGTAATCTATTGTTTGACTATACCCTACCCAAACTGTTAACAATACAAACAGTAATCTATTGTTTGATTGACACCGCAGCTACAGCTTCTCGCCCTGGCACGTCTCCGAGAGCAACAAGCCTGTCTACTGTCTGTACATGTTCAAGAAGCTCTTTGGGTCACGCAGGCACGTCCGTTTGAGTGTGTATTTGTCCGTTTGATTGTGTATTTGTCCGTTTCATTGTGTATTTGTCCGTTTGATTGTGCGTATGTCCGTTTGATCGTGTATTTGTCCGTTTGATTGTGTATTTGTCCGTTTGATTGTGTGTATGTCCGTTTGATTGTGTCTTTGTCCGTTTGATTGTGTCTTTGTCCGTTTGATTGTGTATTTGTCCGTCTGATTGTGTGAATTTGATAACTTGTGTGTTTTTGTGTCCGTGTATCTCCTTGTTATCATGTGACTGTATTTAGTAGTGGGACGTGATCAATTCGCATGTGTAAGCGTTCACATGTAACGATTGTATTGGAGAGGGTATCACGTGATATTTGTTTCCCTTTGCTTCGCTATTGTGAGTATACGGGAGCAGCTAGCGTGGTAGTACAGTACTAATAACTGGTAGCTTTCGCGCGTTGCAATATCTCCATAAGTAGCATATTCATGAAGCGAGCGTTCTTTCCGCTATGTTCGAGTGGCGTATTTATAGTAAATAGTAAGCACTACAAATAAATAGTAAAACAATGCATTTTCTCCAGAGAGAGACAGAGCCCTTTGGGATAAAACCCGGTGCAATGAAGTTGATCCTCTCGATTTTAACCTTAACCATCTGATCCATTCAACTTCATTCTCAAGCTGGTGGTTTGGTTTATATTGGTTTAGACGACGGATCAACATCAATGCAAAAGTGGGAGGCCATAAGTGCTCCGTTCTACTTCTGCCTGTTCGAAGAATCTCAGCGCAGTGCATGAACTCCGTAGCCCCGGCGAGGATCCTGAAATACTTTGGGTAGATTTTAAACTTAAATTTATGCCCGGAAAGCGCCGTAAGGCTACTCTTTTCGATTTCCAGCTGTTAAGGGATTATTTACGTGCGCGACATTACACACTGGCGTCCGATCTTACTATCCAGAGACCAGGGGAAATTACTAGAAGTCCATGCCTTCACAGGGGCCTGAACCCAGGACCTCCAGCACTCGAGACCACGCAGCCTCGCATGTTTCTATCTATCTTCACTTTTACCGTTAAGTTTGCATCATCATCACCATCGTCAATTTTACTTCTGCCGTTAAGCGTTGTGGGAGGAACAGTTTGCGATCCGTTGCTTGATGTGCAACAATAACTGTTGTGATTAAGTGTCGATGTAGTAGATTTTTAATATCATCAATCCATCCTCTCCTTTGACGACCTCTTGCTTTCACTTCAGATCTTTTCATGTGTAGTGCCTGCTTTAGTAGTTGTTCTGACTGCATTCTTACTAGATGATCAATCTATTTGATCTTCTGTTTCTCAGTGAATTTACTGCATGGTGTTGTTCCCAGAGTCTGACTGATAATATCATTTCTAGCTTCGCCTCAGATGGTAAGTTGGCGGCTTTTCTCAGACAGGCATGTCATATCACAGGTGTTAAATTTACCTAGGTTAGCCTTTGCTAATGTATAAGTCTGGCACCGGAAACACAGTGTTGGTATGAATATGTTGTTTATAATTTGTTTTATGGTGCTCCTAATTATGTTTGGATGTCTTAATAACGGTGCCACTTGGTATATAAGTGCACTGGCTCGTTAGTATCTTGTTTCTGTTTCCTGATCTATTCTCTCGTCCTCCGAGAATGTACTTCCTCGATATTTAAGTTCGTTATCTTGCTTCAAACAAATACCATTCAACCCAATATGTATGGGACTAGGAAATCTGCTGACCTTAATTTTTTTTTTTTTTTTACAGTGAACATACTCTGTATTGTGAAGACGCCTAGAGACAACTAGTAAATATATAATCACATCCAGCTCGCAGGAGTCTGTGTGCAAACAGACTGAATGCACAGGTGTCAGTAATTCATCTGAGTAGCGTCTGTTACATGCAGTACATTTCAGCCAGTCCTAAACTCCATGCCATCTCCAAAACAATGTCACTTTGTGCGGTCTCTTACTTAGGCTTCAAATTCCAGTCCAAGACCAATCTTGTGACCTCCCTGGTTGATGTTCTTGCCATCTATCAAAGAGGAAATGGTCAGCTTCACTGCATCTCTCAATGTCTGGGTGTAGCCAAGGCCTATGTGACTCTGGTTGTTACTACATACACTGGAAAAATACACATATTATTAATGACATTACAAGTATAGCTCCATCTGTGTTTGTACGTGTTATTTAGCACTAGGGGAAGTATGTTTTCAAAACAATTATTGTTATGTCGAACATTTTATGTAAAAAATCCACGTGTGGGTTCCGGTGCCTCATTGTGTGAGAAACCAAGAATAGACCCACTGTATCCCCGACAAGCAAGCCGTAAGAGTCGACTAATGGGGGGTGGGGGGAATGGGGTTTCCTTCAAAGTCGCAGTGCATCTGCCCCAGCGGCAAGGAACAGTCAGCTGTACACATAAAAGCCAGTAAAACAGATGCAAACTCATGCGCTGGCACAAAGTCAAAGTCCAAATGGACGAAAAACCAGGACTTTCCACCAGAGCTTACAGCCGGTGAGCAAAGAAGAAGAAGGAAGAGATATAAATAAAATTGGTTTTCATTTATTTTTGAATGTTTAGGGTGGTTTAGGTCCCCACAGTCTGACTGATAATGTCATTTCTAGCTTTGCCTCAGATGGTAAGTTGGCGGCTTTTCTCAGAAGGGCATTGAAATATCATAGGTGTTAAATTTACCTAGGTTAGCCTTTGATAATGTCCAAGTCTGGCACCGGAAACACAGTGTTGGTATAAAAATGCTGTTTAAAATTTGTTTTGTGGTGCTTTACTTTATGTGGACGCCTTACTAATGCCGCCACCCTTTAATACAGTTCCTCATGTTGTGGTGACCGCCAACCATACAATCATTGTCGTTACTACTTCATAACTTCAGTGAACATGTGTTTTCCGATGGCCTTAGGCGACTTCTGAGAACGGGTCGTTCGGCCCCCAAAAAGTTGTCGCGACCCACAGGCTGAGAAGCGTGGTTTAGGGGGTCTGCCTGGAGAAGTGGTCAAGCCGTTTGCCACGCGCTCCAAGGTCGTGGGTTCGTTTCGCGGCGGCGTTGTTCAGTTCACGATAGCTTTTTTTACAGAGATTCCTTGGGGTCGTCGCCGGAGCTATGCGACGCTCTCGGCAGGCAGCTAGCTCTTCTGCGGCGAGAGAGAGAGAGAGAGACTGGGCCATATAGGATAAAACCCGGTGCAATGAAGTCGATCCTCTCACCTTTTAGAAGTTTATTTCCCGTATGCATAGAAACTGATGAGACACTCTGTAGTAGAGCTAGAATGACTGGACCTCATCTGGTCTATGTGTATCTACAGGTATGACCTGGATGATGTGATGCGCTTCACCCTGACAGTTCGCAAGAACTACCGGAAGGTGCCCTACCACAACTGGTCGCACGGCTTCGCTGTGGCCAACACCATGTTCACCATCATTGAGACCAGCCAGCATCAGCTCAACTCGCTAGAGGTGGGCTGGCTTGTGTGTCTGTGTGACGCAACTTGACACAGACAGAGTGTGGCTGGTCACAACATGGCACAGACAGGGTGTGGCTGGTCACAACGTGGCATAGACAGGGTGTGGCTGGTCACAACGTGACACAGACAGAGTGTGGCTGGTCACAACATGATATAGACAGGGTGTGGCTGGTCACAACGTGGCATAGACAGGGTGTGGCTGGTCACAACATGACATAGACAGGGTGTGGCTGGTCACAACGTGGCATAGACAGGGTGTGGCTGGTCACAACGTGACACAGACAGAGTGTGGCTGGTCACAACATGATATAGACAGGGTGTGGCTGGTCACAACGTGGCATAGACAGGGTGTGGCTGGTCACAACATGACATAGACAGGGTGTGGCTGGTCACAACATGACGCAGACAGGGTGTGGCTGGTCACAACATGGCACAGACAGGGTGTGGCTGGTTACAACATGACATAGACTGGGTGTGGTTGGTCACATCATGGCATAGACAGGGTGTGGCTGGTCACAACATGGTACAGACAGGGTGTGGTTGGTCACAACGTAGCACAGACAGGGTGTGGCTGGTCACAACATGGCATAGACAGGGTGTGGCTAGTCATAACATGACATAGACAGGGTGTGGCTGGTCACAACGTGACACAGACAGGGTGTGGCTGGTCACAACATGACACAGACAGGGTGTGGCTGGTCACAACATGGCACAGACAGGGTGTCGCTGGTTACAACATGACATAGACTGGGTGTGGCTGGTCACATCATGGCATAGACAGGGTGTGGCTGGTCACAACACGGCACAGACAGGGTGTGGTTGGTCACAACGTAGCACAGACAGGGTGTGGCTGGTCACAACATGGCATAGACAGGGTGTGGCTGGTCACAACTTGACACAGACAGGCTGTGGCTGGTCATAACATGAAATAGACAGGGTGTGGCTGGTCACAACATGGCATAGACAGGGTGTGGCTGGTCACAACATGACATAGACAGGTTATGTTTGGCTAAACATGACAGTGTCTGACTTTGACCTGTCTAAATCATGATCTTTCTCTACTCCCCTACAGTGTCTGACTGACCTGTCTAAATCATGATCTATCTCTACTCCCCTACAGTCTCTGACTTTGACCTGTCTAAATCATTATTTCTCTACTCCCCTACAGTGTCTGACTATGAATTGTCTAAATCATTATCTCTCTACTCCCCTACAGTGTCTGACTATGACCTGTCTAAATCATTATATCTCTACTCCCCTACAGTGTCTGACTAATACCTGTCTAAATCATTATCTCTCTACTCCCCTACAGTGTCTGACTATGAACTGTCTAAATCATTATCTCTCTACTCCCCTATAGTGTCTGACTATGACCTGTCTAAATCATTATATCTCTACTCCCCTACAGTGTCTGACTAATACCTGTCTAAATCATTATCTCTCTACTCCTCTACAGTGTCTGACCCTGTTTGTGGCCTGCCTGTGCCATGACTTGGATCACCGAGGTAAGACCAACCAGTACATGATTCAGAGCTCTTCTCCCTTGGCGGCCGTCTACACAACCAGCACCCTGGAGCATCACCACTTCAACCAGACTGTCACCATCTTGCAGGTTTTGTTTATCTTTTGTTTTAACATGTCTAGAATAACAAATAACTACATGTGAAATCCACTGTCTTCGTAAGGTCACTAACAACTCGATTAGGTACAGGGTTACGAAAATCAGTATTAGAAAGAAAGCTAGAATAACACCGAGTCTGAAGTATATTGACAGACAAAGAATGAACTAGTACAGCCATCTAGTGAGAATGCGGCCAGACCAAACTACATATGAGACTTTTAATAGCAGATCATGTGAGAGGAAGGCTTTTTCTTTTTCTTCTTCTTTCGTTCGCCTGAAATAAGTTGTCTATATCAGCAATTTTGTCTCTTGTATAAATTTCACTGTTGTTGTTAATTCATTCAGTGGTACATAGAGTTTACGTTCCACTGTTGTTCTTTCTGGCCATGGAAATATGAGAGGAAGGCGAGGGGGAAGACCACGTATGAGGTGGATAAACGGTGTAGCTAAAACCGGCAAAAAGATAAACAAATAAACTACCCAAGCCACACGAGAAGCGCAAGACAAATACAGAAAAACACGACACAAGGCTACAATCTGAACGAACGAACGAACGAACGAACAAACTTTATTTTCAAAGGGTTACAAATTGGGCACGCAGGCCCGTCTGACATTCGGCCCTTCTAAGCACTCGTTTTCCGGGGTACCAATGCCTGTTATTTA